AACTACCAGTGGTTTCGGGATCCGGTCTTTTTATTTTGGTGGAAGACACTGCCACGAGAATCCAGTTAAAAGGGCTTCGGAAGAGGCTATTTTATACACTTGGTCACATATCAGCATTTCCTAGGTTGCAAGGGAAGGGTGACCAGCCACAACCCACACTGCAACAGACCATACCGAGGCTTTCACAGGCTCAGCCATATCACTCAGTGTATCTAACCATTGATTCCGTTGATTCTGAAATCTCCATCTAGGGAGCTAAATGTGACCTATATGACCCAGTGTCCTGATTAGAGGTTTGCATACCTTCAGGCTAGGTGCTAGTTCGACCGCCCTTGGCTTTTTTCCGTCCACTGCCTGCGTCGGCAAATGTCTCGCACCATGGCAACGTGTTTGGCGACATGCGTATTAAATTATGGTTTGGCTTTCATTGATTTAATATAACTGTGAATATTTTCTTCTTTGCAGCTTTTGAATCACATTTCTGAGTGAATTGTTTGCACTCTCTTGTTCCCATAGAGAAATCTTAGATTTTTTTTGACATGTTTGCTGGATGTTCGGATTGGAAAGAATTAGCAAAAGAGCTGATGGATCAGCTGTCTCCTGATTTCATGGTTAGTTGTCTGGAAGCGGTTGCCGGTGGAGAGGCACATCCAACAGGAAGCTCTGCAAACTATGGTCTTGTAGGTATGTATTCAATAAGCAACTCTTTTTAATTGTTAATCACTGGCAGATCCTTTTAAAATCTGAGAATCTCCCGTTGTTTCTCTCCGAGAGCCTTGAACTATTGGGTCTTAAGTACCTATTGTGGATTTGATTTTTCGTTCAATTGTTTAAACGAAACTACGTTGTATTTATACACCAGCTTATCAAGAGTCTGAGGAATGACCGCGAAAAGTGGTAGGTAGGGAAGTGTAGAGAGATGGAAAAGGCTGCGGCTATCGGTAATAGCATCAATCTTTTCCCATTAATTAGGAGTACAAGTCCAAGGAAAGCAGGCGTAAGTGAGGTAATTAAGGAGCCTGACGGCACACTGATCCATATTCAACAGCGCCGTCTAGATTAATGGGCAGAACATTTTAAGGCTCAGTTCAGCTGGCCCTCGTCAGCACAAGACCTCCCTACACCCTATTCAACTGTGCAAATACTGCCAGTTGACATCGATCCTCCATCTGAAATAGAGGTTACCCGAGAAATAAGCTATCTCAAACGGTATAAGGCTTCCGGCCCCGACAGGCCGTCCCCATCGGTTTTTAAGGATGGAGGTCTAGCCTTGGTTTTGGAGTTGACAAAAACCGAGCTTACGGCACTTTTTCCCCCGAGTTCACCACAGAAGGTGGTGCCCGACAGGGTTTCCCTCTCTATGGTTCCTATTCAACTTTGTCATAGATTTAATCCTTGAAACAGCCCTATTCCCGTGCGAGGATAGCGGTATCGATTTACTCCCAGGTAGCAGACTATCTAATCTGGAGTATGCAGACGATATTGTGCTACCAAGTGAAAATCCAGGTTGGTTACACGCTTTTCGGGATAGTCTGAATGCTAGTGTAGTCATGTTCGATATGCGTTTTGCGCCTTCAAAGTGTAAAATGTTGCTTTAAATTTGGTTTGTTCGGCCCCCAACCTCACCATGGCTGGGTAGTGGTAGAGGAAGTGGACAAGTTTTGCTGTCTGGGCAGCTATATCCCATCTGGCGGACCCATCACAGATGCAGTGTCGGCGCACATACAAAAGTCCCGGTTGGCATTTGTCAAAGTGAGGCATCTGTGGAGCCGTCGCGACATCCGACTGTCTGTGAACGGTCGGGTATATGCTGCAGCAGTTCGACCAGTTCTGATATGCGGCGCAGATACTTGCAAACTACGGGAACAGGATAAAAACAGATTGTCGGTGTTCGAACACCGCTGTCTACGTAGCATTGCACGTGTCTGGTGGGGTAACCGGACTAGCAATGTTGAGGTTAGGCGTAGAGTTTTGGGCAGTCGCGGTTGTCCATTGGAGCAACTGATCGACGTCCATAAGTTACGCTGGTTGGGACATGTGCTACGCATGTCACCAGATAGGTGTTTGCCTGGCATGAGGGTATGAAAACCCTAACCAGGAGACTAGGTCACATAGGCCCCGTTAGGCTGGATGATGGTCACCGATGGTTAGCTACACTGAGTGATATGGCTGGGTGTCGCAAACAGTGGTCACCGATGGTTAGAGACACTGATTGATATGGCTGGGTGTCGCAAACAGTGGCGCTCGTGCTATGAAAACCCTAAGCAGGTAACTGGGTCACATAGGTCCTGTTAGGCTCCCTGGCTGGGGACCTCGGGATGATCGTAACCGAAGGTCACATAGGTCCTGTTAGGCTCCCTGGCTGGGGACCTCGGGATGATGGTCACCGATGATTAGAGATACTGAGTGATATAGCTGAGTCTCGCAAACAGTGGCGTTCCTGCATCCACTCATTATTCTCCTAACACCACTCCATATGAATTCCCCATCTACCGCTTGAGTTGGCTTTCATTATTCCAATCTTCATTCTGCTCTTTTGTCCAAATGTGGCACCAAAAGACAGCAGCCAAAACCGGAACACGAAAGCGCATGATTAATGGTTTTACAAACCGAAACTGATTTATGCTTGGTTGATTCGTGATCAACCGGAATTTTTCACTTATCCAGATCCCCCAAAATGTAATATAAGGTCGAAACCAGGGACAAAACTAACACCTGATCAATCAAAATGTAACCGTCTATCCTATCTTCTATTTTGAAGCTATCGATTGATGGATCTACTGAGGTTCCATAGGCAATGTTATGTGAGCCTTTAAAAGAAATCCAAGTGCGATTTTCTATTCCAATCCAGCTAGACCTTACGGGTTTCTCTCTCTTCTTTTTACGACTTCGGATGTGGGACTGATTCACCCGTGGAATGTTCACTACGCCCGTCATCCTTTAATCGAACCACGAATCCTTCCAATGTTCAACAAGAGCTCATGCAATGGTTGCATAAATAATCGTGGTATAAGAAGACATCTGTTGAAATGGATAAAGGGAAAAGGATGTTTTACAACCGTGGAATAAGTTTTGTTTCGACCGTGACCTTCAGATTTCTGCATGTACATTTCTAATCACATTTATTTCATTGATCTTTTTCCATGGCTTTTACAGAATGGCTTGCCGCAGCATGGAATTCGTGGGGCATACCAAAAATACACCAACAGGAGTTCTTCATTACTCTTCCCCTTCCACCACCGGACAGCGAACTGCCCAACGAAGTAGAGCTCATCCGCCGTGTGACTGGTCTGTCACTAAATGATGAAAATTCACCTAGTGAGTTGGGTCTTTTTTGAGGCCAATATGCACCTATTAATCCACAAGTTCACCGAAATTATGCATGTTTCACTCAGGCTTTAGCTAAGGCGGAACACTGAGAGAAAGTGATTCACTTTCTCTAAAATTGATACATTACACTGCTCGATGAGTTGTGCTTAAGCAGGTACCTATAGGCCACCTCTAATTACGGATGTAAGACAATTTTCGTGAAATATCCGGGGCAAATTTCGAAAGAAAATACATTTTAATGTGTTATCACGAACCACGATGCCATGAAAAACAGAATAGACAAGTCCCGTGGTCACGAAGAAATACTTTATGTTAGGTCATGTTAGGACCCTTGTTCTTGGGCTTGAAAGGATGAACCACACAGGTCGTCGACAAGGTTGACGTGGTGTTGATCCAGGTGACATCAAAGTTGTCTATCATTAAAAAAGGCTATTGGTCGTAGTTCGTAATTTTCACAGCGCATTGTTGCTAGTTTTCTGTTCCCTGTTGCATTGATAAAACGTTTTCATTCATCAATATTGAATAACGCATAAAAGCACAGTGGTAGGCCATGTGTGATTTTGTGTGTCTGTGCTATAAAAGACATCATCTTGGCACGGTTAGAATTCTGTCAGTTCTATTTATCAAATTTGAAAACACAGCACCATGTTTTTTGATTCAGTATTTTTATCTGCACCTGGAGAAAGACCCTTTAACTTGTTGACCTCATTTACTCTGATGCTGCGCCAGAGGAACGTTTTCGTATGTATACAAATAATCCGGCTAATGTGAAGACTTTCCCTGAGTTATCAATTTCAGTGTCAGTGACCTTCGAAATTTCTGGGAATATTCTGAGTTTCATCTTGAGGTTACGGTTCTTATTCGCAGTAAACTGTCACATCTGCTGCCCAATTCTCCTTTCGGAATAATTGTACTGCCGGATTCATGGTTATAGAAAGTGATCTGGAACAAAGAAGTTTTTCGAATGGCATCTTAATGATAAAATTTGAAACCGGGGCTACATCTTGAGGGTGATCACCGATTTAAACTCGTTGAAGTAATAATCGATTTCTGGAAATACTTGGTTAAGAGTCGAGATAGAGATTACGGCTATTTTTAGACTGTCTAAATTGAAACGTTCAGAGCAGTAAATAATCGGAGTAACAACACTGATCTCTTTTGATCATGTTATCCCGTAAATTTTTTAATGTTGTCCTACATTCCAAACTGTTCATCTAGAAATCTAGTTTACTTTCTACAAGTCAAACACCTTTTTATTTGAGCAAGTCCAGAAACAGTCAAGAATTTCTTTTTTCTTGAATTTCCCTTCCACTACGGTTCTTGGTAACAAAATGATTCACAGCCCTACAAAATCCGAAGACGCACAGCGTCTGCCCGTTTACCAAGCTTATTCAAAATCCGGAACAGCATTAGGACCTTACGTGTACGTAAACTATGCCAGACCGGCAGATTTGACAGAGTTCGACCGAACTCATGGTCGCAAGAAAGATGCTGCCAGCTTACTTTGTGATTCGCGGCTAATAGCGGTGGCCAGAATAGAACAGTGTACAAGACAAAGCAAGGTTCGTGCTTTGCTCAATCATTGTGACTGTGGTCCGGGGGGAACACCGGTCCCAGGGCATCATCCTTCCGCATTGGTGCTCTATCCAGACATCCACAATGTGATTCCTCCGTCCATGCCAGTTTACCCGGACGGAATTGGACTACCCGGCGATGCTCCATGCTTGGGACATGTGTGCATGAGTTCTGTGGGTGGTGGCAATCCCGGTACACCACACCTTCCCTCGTCAGGTGAGACAAATGATGAAATCCATATGATGAAATAAGAGCTAATATTGGTGACAGCAGTAAATAGCAATGTTGTTCATGACCTAAATAATTTATTTTGTTCACCATGGCCCATTCTGGAGATGTTTTTGACTTCGTTCTTTTAAATGAGATTCAAATTTTTATTATGGATAATTTACAAACGGAAACTTATTGATTCCCATAGAATCTGCACACACTGGATTCGGATGGTAGTACAATGAGATAACAAATCATCATATTCACTTGTGGGTGCTGGACAGTTGAATGTTTCAATCCTTTACCGAGCCGTGACTTGAATGACTCGATTGTTAAAGCACAAACAACTTGGGGCGGAAGAGAGTTCCAGGTATCATATACTTTGAGACTGAGACAGTGACGCCTGCAGTCGAACCGACTCTTTTGGAGTAACAGTTTAAAGGGATATCTCCTGACGTGATCATTCCTGGATGGTCTTAGTAGAGTACTACATGATGGTTAGGCTGGTGTAGCATTTGATGAACGAGGATCATGTCTCCCCCTATTCGGCGGTATTCAGATGAATAGAGTTTGAAGATTTGCAGCCTATCAACGTAGCTCTTCGAGTGTAACCCTTCGACAATTTCGGTTGCAATTCTATGTGGATGTTCGAACGCTATTTCATACAACTTAGTCATGAATTCTCGTTTGCGGATAACTGTCGAATTTATCATCATTTGCTTCAGCGTGTATACAAAATGTCCCAGCTACCACGTTGCCCTTTCAATTGAACGGTGAAACAGGACCAGCCAATCAGTGAGCTATTTGTTGTCAAATTAGATAATGTAGACTTGTTAACAGCTTTTTTCGTATTACACTAATGTGTGTTGATTGGTAGGTGAGGTGAACCTCGACATCACGAGGACTTGGTGATTTTTTAATAGTAACGTATAAGCCAAACTCAGAGACTGGTAAACTAAAAAGGCCCGAATGGAGCGGGCGAGCATAAACAAAGTTGATTGTCACCAAAGTGGAAGTGTGTGAGGGGGGGGGCGATAACGTTCAGATCCTGAAACGCACGCAAATGATGGCAACTTCAGCTTCTTAACAACCACGAAGTTCATTTTTTCTGGGAATTTACCTCCATTAGTAATTGGATGCTAATTTGCACATAGGCAAGATAACCTGTGTTTTCGGATAATTGGTTTATTTTGTTATTCTCTTTGTATTTTGTTTCCAGTACATATCTATGAGGAAGATGTGTTGACTCCCGATTTGGCTCTAACACCTATTCTTGTGCAACCCATTGGATACACTCAGGCTGTGGGTATTCTATCCCATTTGTCCGGTCCTCGCATTCCAGATACATGGAAAAGGTGCATGGCCGAAAGAATCGGCCCATCAACAGATTAGTGAGTGTATTACGCGCGTAATTACACACACACACGGCCGTGGTTCTGTTCAAACACATACCTCACACAGAACAAATCATCTTAATTTACATTTATTAGCCAGAGTAGATAGCTTTAAAATCAACGTTCGTTCGTTCTTTAAGTTCGGACATGTTTGCGAATTCAGTTTTCTGCTGTTTATTATCGACCATCCGAATGTCCTGACAACCAGAATGTTCTAAAGATGATAAACAAAGGCCAAGCCACACACGTTATGATGATGATATGTCTTCATAGGGTTGTTATATATATACACCATAAATGGATGAAGTTTTTTTTTGCATGCGACCTACACGCCCTGGATTCGGATTCTCATTTGTTTCACCCGCGACAAAAGTTCGTTGGTGTTCATCGATTTATTTAGGGTGTTTCGCTGTTGTTATTTCGTCGTTGTTGAGTTGAGTTATTTTGGCGCGCATTCGGCAAGTTGTGGTACCGTCACCACTGCTACGATTCCGTCTTAGTTGAACGTCCTCCTACCACGGTTCTCATGTAATTTGACCTACTTAGTCTGCGGTGTCCGCTTTGATAATTCCGGTGTGCCGTCAATAAAGTTTTTTTTTTAATTTGATCATACAAATGCACTAACAAAACGAAACATATGTTCCCAAACAGTATTTATCATGGTGTTCTGACCAAAGTAAACAGTGGCCAAATTAAAAGTTCAATCCAACCATTCAAATCAACACAGCTTCCTAAGAGGACATGTGCAGTACACGCCCGTTTTCCTTTCGCGGTATTTCAGTTCCACTTCGCTGTGTCCACACTTGTCTGCAAATTGCAGAATTTTTTATTTTGATTCCTTTTATTGAATGATAGAAATAATCTTCCGGAGGCAGGAAGCGACCAATAAAAGGGATGTCATACAACACACAGAAAATGAGGAAAGTCAGTTGATGGTGATGGTGGGNATCTTTACCGTCGACACTACTTTTACTACCATTCCCCGTAAAACCATTTTCCGTCGTGTGTTTAGTCATTACTATACGCATCACTGGCTCTCTCCTGACAGTATACGATAATGTGTGTTCATGTGTGTGTGTTTGGGTTGGACCTGGGGCTTGGGCACTTGGTACTAAAAAAACATTGTTTTACGTCCAATTTCAGTTGATCTAACACACGCTTTTCTATCTATCTATCTGTCCGGTCTATTGCAAATTCTCCCGTATCATTCACTTTGTTGTGCTCTTAATTTCACACGATTGCATCCTGTGTAAAACAAAAACCGAGCTTTCAAATCTCCAGAACACCGTGCATCGGTTAACTATATTTTCAGCTGTGCACAGTCCTCAACAACGACCACGGAGGAGCCACTCACGGATACCGAAAAACTCTATCTCTACGCAGAACGTCGTAACCGATTTTTGTTGCCTTGTAGGAAAGAGCCACCTGAATAGCTAGTTTGTTGAGTATTTGGTTATCGGTAGCTTGCTTATTACAATCAATTTCCTGTTATGTCTCATCGCTCGGAAATTCGAAAAAGTGGGTGAATTCCAGGAGCTGCGACACAGCATGTTAGTCAGTAGTAATTCTTTTTAATTGGTATCAAAAAAACAGTTGGGATTTTAGTCACAAAATAAAACGGGTCGATAAAATGTACGTCAGTTCCGTTACTTCTTCCCAGTGTTTATAATTATATACTGTTTATTTATGACAGAATTTAAATGCATCGTTCTGCGTTTCCTTTATGTATCAAAGAATTCGAAATTTTTTTTGATGTCCTCAACTTAATATCCGAGTTTCAGCCTTTTTTCCTTACTTATTTCAGAGTGGTGGTGGTGCAGTGGTTTAGTTGTTGTCATCGGTGTGCTTTGGACCCTATGGTCCGAGGTTCGAACCCCGCCACCGCCTCCTAACTTTGGTGGTAGGCGGCTTTGCTTTCACCCGTTTCAGTGCCACGCTAACCTCATGGAGCCTTGTGTGGTTAGCCACTCCAAGACCGTGTGAGATTTCCTAACCCGGAAGTTAGTTCTTTAATGCAATGATGCACTCCTTCGATTCCCTAGACGGTGAAAAATTAGATAGTTTTTTTTCCGTGATTTTTCCCGGTTCACTTAGAATAAAGTAAAGTGGGTGAAGGTACCTGTAATGTTATCTTTCTGGATGAATAAGTTCATAACCCGCCGAAAGAAAACGACGCTGTTTGTCACTCCAAACAATATTAGACAGAACCGATGTAGATTGTCACATGTTTTGTAGGTAACTGATTAGGGGCCAGCATTTCGCAAACATAAGGCTTTGAAAACAATTTATCGTGATAATTTAGACATCATTTCTTTCATTCATCAGTGCTGCTTCATGGTGCAGAGATTTGGTCATAACGGGAAGAGGATGGGGATAGACTGTCGGTGTTCAAACACCGGTGTCTGC